CCCACGGGTGGCTTGAGATTTTCATTGGGATTAATGGGTGGGAAAATGAGAGCAATCTGATCAAGGGAAAGATCGGCAGTTGCGGATTATTCTTTCCAAATGTCCTTACTAACTTCAGATTCATATTGATCAGGATTATTCCACCCCCTCCCCCCTTCATCTGTATCTGTGGGTTTTCATGGCCAATTAACGTTTTATAAATTTAACTCTGTTTCTATTGCCCCTTTTTGCTTTAGCCTCTTTTGCCTTCTCAGGTGGTGGAGTTACCAGCTCATACATCGATGACATTTGCCATTGGAGGACTTTCACGACGGTAACGGATGATGGAGTTCACTCTTTGAAGCGTGACCTCACCTGAGATTCAGGGAAAGTACACCCTGCGGTTTTATGGACCGCCTCAACTCTCTTTGAAAAGTCGATGGGAGTAAAGTTCCTCATCAGATAGGGGTGAGTTCACAAAATCGGAGGGAAAACTCACCTCACTGAGTCTCAATGTTTTGGTTTTCTCAAGAAGCGAACTTCACTTTACTGGTGAATTCTGTCACAGATACCGTAACTGTACGTCATGAATGTGTCATCCCCTTGGCCACCATGGCCAATAAACCTTTTTACAAATTTAACTGAGCTTCTATAGCCCTTTTTTGATTTAGACTCTTTCGCCTTCGTGGGTGGTAGAGTCACCGCCAGCTCCTACATCGATGACATCTTGCCGTTGGAGGACTTTCATGACGGTAACGGGCGTTGGAGTTGACTCCTTGAAGCGTGACCTCACCTGAGTTTCGGGGGAAGTATTCTCTGCGGTTTTGTGGACCGCCTCAGCTTTATTTGAAAAGTCGATGGGAGTAAAGTTCCTCATCGGAGAGGGGTGAGTTCACAAAATCGGAGGGAAAACTTACCTCACTGAGACTCAATGTTTTGGTTTTCTCCAGAAGGGCGGACAACTGTTCATTTTGCTGGTGAATTCTGTCACAGACATGATTGAGTCACTGTACGACATGATTGAGTCATCCCCTTGGCCATCATGGCCAATTGACGTTTTACACATTTAACTCAGCTTCTATAGCCCCTTTTCGCTTTAGCCTCTTTCACCTTCGTGGGTGGGTTCTAGAGTAACCACCAGCTCCTACATCGATGACATCTGGCCGTTGGAGGACTTTCACGACGGTACCGGGCGACGGAGTTCACTCCTTGCAGCGTGACCTTACCTGAGTTTCAGGGGAAGTTTTTAGTTTTTTACGTAATGAAGGGGTCGACCTTCGAATCGTGAGTGAGTCGTCGTCGAATTTAAAATCATGTCCTTTGTCTGGTCCGTGGCCTTGTCCGTAACCAATTTTGTTATTAGTAGTTGCGATCTTTAATTTTGTTGTAATTATATCTTGTTCTCCATGGGTTTTTTAGACGGTGGTGGAGACGAGGTCCACAAGGGCATAGCCTCCATACCATGGTAAGGACTTGGAAACTAAGCCTGTTAATCACTGAGGCGCCCAGGTATAATTGTGGCAAACGTTCGAATACAGTCGCTACCCTGATTGGAGACCGATGAACTCTGATTGGCAAGGTTTACATAACACCCCCAGCATAAGAAGACCGGTTGACTTAGGAGACCAACACCGTTCACTGGTTATTTAGGGGCGCCAGTAGTTCGCCTCGCCGCGACCAAGGATCACGGGCAGTCGGATGTTTGATCAGAAATTTCTCCCTGGAAAACACAACTACCCAATGTATCTATTGGTCTTTCCACTATCCGCAACCTGTGCACGCGTCCGATAACACTCAGCTATGCTTCCGCTAACGGGGGACTATCAAAACAATACTGGCTACCAGTACGTCCTACCCACTTTATATACAAAACACATTAATGATGTACTGCTCTTACACCGACGGATATGTTGAGGATTCTGAAGGCTTGAAGTGATATGTAATCATTAAATTCCAGAACACAACACTACATTAAGAATCCTGCCTATAAAAATTGCCAGCAAACCTTCCATGCTAACCCACACGACCATTACACATTTTGTAGCTCACAACAATGAACGTGCCGGAATTTCATTGTTGATTTGATTAATGTGTTAACATTTTATCTTTATAAGACTGCCATAAGTCATTCATTAGGTTAGAGCATCACGAGGGCAGGAAAATAGTCAAGTCATTGCGAACAATAAAATGTTTCAAGTATCCTTAACGAAATTCATTTAATGAAAATCTCTTTGGAGATGTAGAAGTGGCATGGCGGCATACCACATGCCTGAAAACCCTTCCACACCATGGCCGAAAGCCAAAAGCTTTCTGCACATCCTTTTATGATGTACAATAGCCCGGTCTCTGTTTGCCCTGAACTCTGTTTGGGGCAGTCAAGTATTTGGTGATTATGGGTTCTCGTTGTTGTTGTGGTTGCTACGACGGCTGGTTGTTTGTCCCGAGAATTCCTCATTTGCCACATCTTCGCTACATTACTGCTTCATCGCTCACCAGCAAATAACATCTTTCATCAACATATTTTTATTGGTCGGCGAGGACTAGTTGTTGTAACAAATGGCAAACCATAAAATGAATGATATTTTACAAAATAATTGAAGGGCTCTCCCACCCCACATGAAAACAAAGGATCTCATGATGATGAAACGAAGGTCATAAAACACCCAACTGCCAGTGCCAGGCAACCGCTGGGTTTTACCAACAGCAGCGGCAGCAGCTGGAATAGGTTATTTGCGGCTTTCTAGGCAACCACATTAAACAGAACTTAACAACTCAATTCATTTGGGGAGGCTATGGCTTTTCACTAGAAAAATTGATCATTTTTCTTTGCTCCGCCGGGCCATCTATCATTGTCTGGGCTGCCACTCTATGCCGCAGCCTCTGCCAGCCTGCCCGCACTTAATAAGGCCAGCTTGTAAACAATCACAAAAGTGGTCTTCTATTTCATGGTAAAGTGTCAAAGGTATGTTCGTTGGCCATCAAATTATGAATGTTAATTTGTTCGCAAGAGGTAAAATATGTGTTGTTCTGTCAAAATGTCGGCAGAGCGCGCACGCTAGGGAGTATGGAGAGGGGGGATGATAAACATTGATCTATGTACTCTATTATTGGAGTCTATTGAAATATGTGTGAGGAAATTTGTTTCTTCTTGACACCATTGGAAGGTCTTAATTTCAAGGGGTTTCTGTTGTTAAGTGGAGGACAGTAGAGGCAACGAATGGCGTTACCATCTCTGGGGTGTTACGTAAACCGTGTCCATCAGCGTTCCATGATTTGAAGTCAGGGTACCGACTGTATTTGATATCTGGGTGCCTCGACGAGTAGCAGGCTAGTTGCCAAGTCCTTACCATGACAGGGAGCGAGACTATGTCATGGTGGACATCTTCACCTCCACAGTCCACAGCTTTTATGGAGAACAATAAACAAAACAAGTTAAAAAGTATCAGTCGGTATTGCCGCCAGATATATACCCTCAGCCTATGTTCGATTATTTAAATATATTTTGACAAGTGTTAAGATTATTCAAACGTTTGACCCTCTATGGAGCAGGTCCTGAAGGAATGAGCCAATATTGCCCTTTCCTATCGGACCCAAAAATATGATATAAATATTGCGACAGATGTGCCAAGTCTAAATGGAATCGGATGTTAATTTGGCCTTTTATGAGCTTCATGGGTACTCAAAATTTCAATATTTTGTGGGGGAGGTACCAGAAGGAGTGGTCCGATGTATTCACCCTTCACACCAGACCATGGGTTAATACAAATATTAGGATGTGTGAAATTTGAAGACAATCGGACTTTTACATCACATTTAATGAGGTAGTAATTATTCAAAATTTTGACCATTTATGGGGGAGGTACTTGATGGAGTAGACCGATATTGTCCATTTTCACACTTGACCTAGGAGCAAATTCGGATTATCCTTTCTCATTCTGTGCAAAATATATATTTTTTGAAAATTTGACCTTTTGTGGGGGAGGTACCAGAAGGAGTGGACCGATATTGCCCAACTCCGAACTCGATCTAAGTTTGACAAAAATATTACGATGTACCCAATTTGGACCAAATCGGATACTCCCTTCGAGAGTTATCGTGCGCACCAGCCAGCCAGACAGACAGACGGACGGACATCGCTAGATCGACTCCAAATGTTCTGAAACGGATTTGGTCCAAAGAGACCTAGGGTCTAAAACCGTTATTTCGACTAGGCACGTTTTGGCCGTATCAAATGATATATACCCTCTGTAGCCATATGGCTGAGGGTATAATCTGTAGCCATATGGCTGAGGTATAAACAGCAAAACCAAACCTAGACATAGTTTTAACCGCCTCGTTGGAGGCATCGACCCAGGACACAGCCACGGACTTAATTTTAAATGCGGGTGGGGAATCGACCCTGCTAACGTACTGAGACGTCGTATGTGAAAAAATTCTTGAAAAAACCAGAGCACTGAGCCTTAGCCAAAAGAGCGTTTGATTTGGCTTGGGGAATGATTCACCTCTCTCAGAAGAGGAGCTCGACGTTACTGTCATACTCCTATATCAGAAAGATGAATTAATTCAAAAAACTACGTGGAACTCCCAGACCGACGCCTAGGTAAGGTTAATTCAAGAAATAGATCCATCGGCACGCACCGATGCAGTCAACCCTCGGATGCAGGAATTTAACGTGGAAGATGATATGGAGAAGAACCGCAATGACTCCAGCTCGAAGGATGGTAAAGCAAGAAGGTGGTACAAGCGGTCAGTTAGGTACTGAGAGAGCTTCCTCCACCCCCGACCCCCTACAAATTGCGGAGGGGAAAAAAACCCATAATCAAGGCAAACGTTATGGCGTTCGAAAAGAATCTTCCAAACCATGACCGCACTTTATAAGCCTTGTGTTTCGGATTATTGTCTTTATAAAAATTATAATCTTCTCCAAGGCCGAGCTTTTCCTTACAGAGTGGCAAACATTATTTCAAAGTGTTCAGGTGCATAGTTTGATCCATAATACCCTCAATAAAATGCAATACACCATGTCCAGAGGCTGGATGCAGGAATTCATTGTGGAAGATGATATGGAGGGTACTTCGGCCACCAACAACCCAAAGAACCGCGATGACTCCAGCTCGAAAGAGGATAAAACAAAAAGGGGGTACAAGTGTTCAGTTAGGTACTGAGAAAGCTTTCTCCACCCCCGATCCCCTACAAATTGCGGAAAGGGGAAAAAATCCCTAATCAAGGCGTACCTTATGGCGTTCGAAGTTTCGAAAAGAATCTTCCAAACATTGACCGCACTTTATAAGCCTTGTGTTTCTGATCATTGTCTTGATAAAAATAATAATATTCACCAGGGCGGAACTTTTCCTTATAGAGTGGCAAATTTTCTTTCAAAATGTTAAGGTGCATAGTCTGATCCATAATACCCTCAATAAAATGCAATACACCAAGTCCAGAAGCTGAAAATAAACCCCACACCATTACTCACCCACCACCTTGCTTCACTGTAGGCTTCATATATTTTTTTTTTTTTGGCAAGGAGCGCTTCATTTGCCCTTCTCCATGCATATGGTCTGCCATCGGAATCAAAAAGGTTGAATTTGCTCTCGTCCGTGAACAGCGCATGCTTCCAAAATTAAAAATCTTTTGATACGTTCTCCTTGGAGAATCGCAATTTTACTTCTTGATCTCGCTTGCTCATTAGAGTTTTATATCTAGCTCTTCTAGCATCAAATTTTAGAATAAGTTTAGATTTCTTCGTGACCAACCTTTGGCACGAATTACGGCCTTCAAACGGCCAATGAAACACACGCTGCCCTAATTTTGCTCTGGGGTATTTTGGCCCATTCCCGGCGAACCGCTTGCTTGAGGTGATCGACACTTTGATATTTTTTAGTCCCAACCTTTCTCCTCCTCCAGACACAATAGTCCAACGGATTGGTATCCGGAGATTTCGATGGCCATTGTGCGTTGGAAATAAAGCGAGGAACCTTATTTTGTAACCATTCTTGGGAGGCGCGTGCTGAGTGCGATGATGCTGAGTCCTGTTGGAATGTTCAAGGTCTGCGGCCAAAATGTTTGCATGTCCAAGGCTTTAATACACCCTCCAGAATATTTTCGCGATAATATTCGGCATTTATTCTGATGTCACGGTCGATTAATACGAGCGGAGAGCGACCATCGACTGTTATGACGGCCCACACCATCACCATGGCCGGCGCTTGAGTTAGGTTGGCCAACCGAAGGTGTACATTTTCAGCTGACCTCTTTGGCAAGTAAACACGATCATTTTGTTTGTTTACAAACAACTGGACAACGAATGTTTTCTCATCGGAGAAAACCAAATTCGGCAGTTCACCATTTTCGGCCAAGCGAAGCAACTCCTTAGCTCTTTTGAGTCTATTTTCTTTCTGTTGCGGTGTAAGTTCTTGCACTTTATGTAATTTCAATGGCTTTACCCCGAGCTCATTTTTCAATATTTGCCGAATGGAATATTGCGATATGCTCAGCACACGAGTCATTTTTCGGCCACTGTGACGCGTGATTTCGATCAAGACACTTCCTTACTTTTCGCACCATTTCTGCTGATGTTGCTGTTGTCTTCCGCCCACTTCCTTGATGTCCTGCTACGCTACCAGTATCATGGCGACGAGTGATGGTACGAGACACAAAAGATTTATTCACATTTAAATGCTGGAGTGCTCTAACGATAGCCACTTGTGGTTCACGAATACCTTTTTTTTTGGAAAATTCTCACCAAAATGCTTTTGCACGGTTGTAAATAATATGGTGAGCTATCACTGAAAAAAATTTAGCAGCTGTCGGACGAGTGGCTTAGAAATGACAGCAGTCTGAAGTTGGTTGCAGTTTTTTCATCTCTACCTGTATATTAAGTCCATATTTAATAGGTGTATCAATAATTACCAATTTTAAATTAAAAATCTCTTATTATACCCTCCACCATAGTATAGAGGGCATATAAAGTTTGTCACTCCATTTGGAACACCTCGAAATATACATTTTAGACCCCACAAAGTTTATATATTCTTAAACAGCATAAAGTTATATGTCGATTTTGCTATGTCCGTCCGTCTATGGAAATCACTCTAACATCCGAACGAATTGAAGTAGATTGATAAAATTTTACTCAAGTGTTTTTTACTTATGTCTGCAGGACTTTTGGTATTGAAAATGTAGGTCCACGTTTTGGTATAGCCCCCATGTAACGGTACCTCCCGATATTCGGTATATTAATAATTTTAGCGACATTTTTCACCGGAAATGTTCCAAATTTTGTATTTGAAGTTCGTAATGGATACCACAGACAAAAAAATTTCTGTGCAGGTCCACGTCTTCGTACAGCCCTCATATAATGGTACCTCCCGATATTCGCTATTTTGATGATTTTAGCAACATTATTCACCGGAATTGTTTGAAGTTTGGTATCTGAAGTTCGTAATGGATACTTCAGCCTAAGACAGAAAATTGTCTGTGCAGGTCCACGTATCTGCATAGCCCCCATATAAGGATACCTCATGATATTCGGTATTTTGATGATTTTAGCAACATTATTCACCGGAATTGTTTGAAGTTTGGTATCTGAAGTTCGTAATGGATACTTCAGCCTAAGACAGAAAATTGTCTGTGCAGGTCCACGTATCTGCATAGCCCCCATATAAGGATACCTCATGATATTCGGTATTTTGATGATTTTAGCGGCATTATTCACCCGAATTGTTTCAAATTTGATATTTGAAGTTCGCAATGAATACTTCAGCCTAAGACAGAAAATTGTCTGTGCAGGTCCACGTCTTCGTATAGCCCCTCATATAAGGGTACCTCCCGGCATTTGCTTTTGTTTTGTTGTTGCCTTAAAAAATTCGTCCTTTAATCTAATTGTCCTGCCATACAAATTGGCAAAGTTGAAATGAAAATTATGTTTATATCCAACTGTAATTTGTTCAGTTGTCCTGCTTTTTTTCCTATTCTTTGAGTAACATAAGAAAGCACAACTGCAACTCTTGTTTTCCAAGCAATATTGTTAATTGACCTTTTTATAGTTCCTGTTATTGGAGCCATTGGGTATCCCTTTCCGTGTACAACATCAACTCATTTATGGAACTTTGTGGAACATAAGGTCTATTGCCTGGGAGCCTGACCCCCCCCACCCCCCAACCTAACCCAAATGCTTGACTAGCATTTCGAACAACACATCATTTATTTCTTTTGTTGCAAAACAAACAAAACACAACAACTACAAGAACATGAAGACAAACAACAGCAATAAAAACAAAGAAAAATCATCAGACATTCATAGAACATGAATCTCCTGCTGTGAAAGTAATTTCATTGGCAGTTAAAATAGCAACATTGCCTCTTTAAAGGCAGCAGGAACAACAACAACATCAGCAGCTGCAAGATAAAAAAAAGAAAAGCTTTGTCTGTCCGTGCTTATACCTTTCTCATGATAGCAAGCTCCACTCATAGCTGACTGTTGTACATTTGCAAGGATAGCCAAAAAATAATGGGACCTTAACAACCAACTCCTAACCCCACTCCGTTGCAAGTAGTCAATGTTTATTTATTTGGGCGGTGTTGTTCTCCAAGTGGCATGCAACACATTCCTATGTGGCACATAAAATCATCGATGACACACAGTCTTTACTGCAACTTCAATGCAGTTCAAAGTTTCGGCAATGCGTTTTAATTTTTTTCTGTTTTTCATTCGGCAAGGACTATTGTTTCAGTTTTTAACAAGCTCAACAACAACAATGATGATGAGCAGAAAAGAGAGAAGAGTTGTAACAGCAACATGACTAACAAATCGTAGAACAAACAAAAATCGTGAGCTAAGGCTCGAACACAACGACTTGAATTCATTTGCGAAAATTCTTTGTTTCCAACTGACACAATGACAAGGGAAATTTGTATGGAAGTCACATTAAGTGGCAGAGATACAGGGAACCGCACAGACAGTGGGCAAATTGGGAAGGAAGTGTCCTCTCATCTGTGAGAAGAGCAATCGTTCCATTGTTACAAGAGCAAGAGCTCTTCTATGAGGAGAAAAATTGATATCCTTCTCTGAGAAGAGAAACTGAGAGAGAAGAGCACCAGCTTTTCTTCTATGAGAAAGAGAGCCAGCTCTTCTATGAGAAGAGAGCCAGCTCTTCTTCTATGAGAAGAGCACCACAGCTCTTCTATGAGAAGAGGAGAACAGCTCTTCTATGAGGAGAGCAGAACAGCTCTTCTATGAGGAGAGAGCCAGCTCTCCTATGAGGAGAGAGCCAGCTCTCCTATGAGGAGAGAGCCAGCTCTCCTATGAGAAGAGAGCCAGCTCTCCTATGAGAAGAGAGCCAGCTCTCCTATGAGAAGAGAGTCAGCTCTCCTATGAGAAGAGAGCCAGCACTCCTATGAGAAGAGAGCCAGCTCTCCTATGAGGAGAGAGCCAACTCTTCTATGAGAAGAGCACCAACTCTTCCTCTATGAGAAGGGCACCAGCTCTTCTGCTATGAGAAGAGCACCAGCTCTTCTGCTATGAGAAGAGCACCAGCTCTTCTGCTATGAGAAGAGCACCAGCTCTTCTGCTATGAGAAGAGCACAAGCTCTTCTGCTATGAGAAGAGCACCAGCTCTTCTGCTATGAGAAGAGCACCAGCTCTTCTTCTATAAGAAGAGAGCCAGCTCTTCTTCTATGCGAAGAGCACCACAGCTCTTCTATGAGAAGAGCACCAGCTCTTCTTCTATGAGAAGAGCACCAGCTCTTCTTCTATGAGAAGAGCACCAGCTCTTCTTCTATGAGAAGAGAAGAACAGCTCTTCTATGAGAAGAGCACCACAGCTCTTCTATGAGAAGAGCAGAACAGCTCTTCTATGAGAAGAGAGCCAGCTCTCCTATGAGAAGAGAGCCAGCTCTCCTATGAGAAGAGAGCCAGCTCTCCTATGAGAAGAGCACCAGCTCTTCTTCTATGAGAAGAGCACCAGCTCTTCTTCTATGAGAAGAGCACCAGCTCTTCTTCTATGAGAAGAGCATAAGCTCTTCCTCTATGAAAAGAGCGAGCTATTGCTCGTCTATGAGAAGAGCATCAGCTCTTCTTCTATGAGAAGAGCATCAGCTCTTCTTCTATGAGAAGAGCATCAGCTCTTCTTCTATGAGAAGA